TGAAACGATTTGCTGATCTAAGTTCTGATGAGACGGTGAATTATGGGTTATTGTGAAGGATGTTGACGTACAGCTCTTGCAATACCATAAAACATCTTCACTCACATTTTCTATTGAAGTTTGGTGTATGCTACTAAATTAAGAGTTTGTTTGTTTTTTCATGATTAATGTTTTACTCGTATCACTAAGAGGAGTACCATATTGGTTTTGATTGTAGGGGGTCTAAAATATGATTATCTTATTGTGTGTGAAACAAAGATATATTTGTTTCTTTTGATCAATTGCTCTATCTATACCTTTTATATACCTGTTGTAGAATTTTGTTTCTTATTGTATTCTTTGGATAAAAATATTTAGCTATTTGCTCACCAGTACAATGCTTATCAGGATGGCCCACAAGCTAGTCAAACGGTTCCACATGTCCACATCCATATCATCCCAGAAAGAAAGGAGATTTTGAGAAAAATGGTGAAATATATGATGCGGTTTGTGGCATAGCTCTCCAATCAATCTTCTCTTATCCAATATTTCATCACACAATGCTTAACCATTGTCTTTCCAATAGATCGATGTCAAAGAAAGAGAATTAAATGAGAAGCTTGATCTAGACATAGAGCGAAAAGATTGGACCATGGAAGAAGATGGCTCATGAGGCCAATTACCTATGTTACCTAGATACGGGGATATAGATACAGATACGTGATACGGGGATACGAGGATATGGCACTTTTTAGAAAACAAGGATACGGAGATACATCTATATATATAGAAATTTAATAAAATATAGAAATTTGATGAATTTGGAAATTTAATAAAAATACAAAAAAATGTTGAACTTCTTTAAGAAAATTAGTCCATGCATATTTGTAGCTAAATCATGCTTGCAAATGTATACCAGATCGGTGAGTACTAAGCTAGCACATGACCTCCAATATCCCTTCTAGTTTGTAGTCTTGTATACTATCACCGACGTCCACACAGCAAAGAACAAAGATAGTATAAATTAGTGTAAGACAACAAGAAGTCCTCAAAATCACAAAATATAATGTTCTTTCCCTTGCTTGTTTTACCTTGAACCTCCAGCCGCAGTAGCATTAGGAATAGATGCAGCTAGTTACCAACTCTAAAATCCATCAAATCTATGAAATTTGGCATTGTTTGTCCCAAGAAAATAAGTGAGGAGAACATAGATGAAACAAGATGAATTGTTCGACGGAAGAAACTCAACAGCCAATATCTTACTACCTCATTAGGCATGAAAGAAGCAATCGGCCACTGGCGATAGCTTTGCGCCGAGGGACCACGGCGGCGCGGCGCGCAACAGTGGAGGCGTGGAGCTGGTACACCTCCAGCCGTCCGGCGCCGAGGCCGTTCACTCGCTTTATGGCAGTGGTGGTTCTTTTTTTTTTTTGCTGTACTCAGCTACGATGGCGCGCGGCATGCTAGGATCGATCGCTGCTCTCGCGGGATGGAGCGAAGGATACGTACGGGATACGTATCGGAGCGTATTCGATACATATTCGTATCCCCTCACGTATCTGAGACGAATACGTCGTTTTAGGGACATATCAGGGTATCCTAGCCAATGAGTACTGTGCACTTTTCCCTTACATGCATTTCTTGTAACCTGTCTCTAAATTGCATTGGCTCTTTCCTAGAAATTCTTTGTAATTGTTGTCATCTAGCATGGGAATCCAGTGGTCCTTCAACTGACATTCTGAATTGATGTAGTAATTTTGTTATCAAACATTGATGACACATGTTTGTTGTAGAAATATGTTCTTAACTTTTTACTAATAAATATTTATCTTTGAAACTAGTTATGTCACGGACTCACGTTATAGCAGTAGTTGTTTGTTGGAAGAAATATGTTTTTATTGACATATTTCTCTCTTTATATGATACTGGTTGGTGACAATTTTTCCATATGAAATTAAACCACCATAAATAAAAGATGGTAACAAAATGTCTCATGTGTCCTTTCTATAAGTAATACTCCCTCCGTTTCACAATGTAAGTCATTCTAGCATTTCCCACATTCATATTGATGTTGTATCAACATCAATATGAATGTGGGAAATGCTAGAATGACTTACATTGTGAAACGGAGGAAGTAATAATTTGCTGACTTTATAAGTTTCTGAGCCTACAAAACAAAGAAGGCTTATTCTTCTAGATCAAGTATATGACTTACGATCCATGCTATCCATACATTGTATTTAGTTTTAGCTTAAACATGGACTTAAGATTTAACTATTCAAAGACAATATTTTGTTTAGTTAATCATGTCAGTCAGAAAGCGTGTTATGCTCTTTTGCTTATGTGTATTGCTACAGTAAAAATTCTGTTTAAAACATGTTCTATATTGTGAAAAGTCGGAAATGCAACATAGGCATACGAGCCATGCATGATACTCTTATGACTATTTATTTCTTTGTCCACGAAACCAACTTCAACGAGAATTACGGGTAAACAAGATATACAAGCCATACATGATACACATCTAACCAACTCTAACTACATGCATGTCAAGAGTTCTAGTTGAGTCTCAAAAGTACCAAGATTCAACTCAGATTCCCCACTACAACTAGAACAAAAACTTTACATTGCATGCGTAGGGAAAATGATCATACATTTGAGATTGAGTGATTTGCACATGGTTCAAATCAAGCCAATAGTACGACGTCTATCTAGCAACCCGGATGCACCAAACTCCAATATCAGGAAAAGACAAAAAAAAACATTCTTAGCTACATTATACCTTTGCCTTGCTCTATCCAACTCGGGGTCAAATGTTGAGCTTGGATCAACAGTTGTGACCATCTGATCGGACCATATTTACGCCAAGGTCCTAACCAACCTTTGTCAAGTCTTTACAAGCTTGAACTCATCCTTGTCAACATGATGTTCATGTCTTGATGACCATCAACACATGGTGTCATCCATTAGTCTCATCACGACAATACATAACTCAAAGGAAAACATTAGTCCTGACAAATCAGTTGTATCCTTCCATAGATGACTAATCGGTTGCATATGAAATATATGAATACAATAGTTGAGTACTCATCAAGACCACAAGTGCCAAATACTTGCATGTAAGCTTAAGTGCAAAGATCCAATATAAACTAGATAATACCCCGCACGTTGCAGCGGGACATAGTGCATACCAACGAAAGAGGGAAAATTCAATGAGAACATTTGATCCATCACAATACATGTAACAAAATTCTATGAGAATATTTGATCTATCACATTTAACAAATAAGTGAAATTGCGTTCTTGCCCCTCTTTTTAGGGTTTTTGATTTTATCTCATTTGATCAACTATAGAAAAAGGAATTACGCAACAACAAATGTTCCCTCTTTTTTAGGATTTTTTATTTTATCTTATTTGATCAACTATAGGAAAAAGAATTTCATGACAACAAATTTTGGAAATAATAACTCAATAAGTAGAAATTCACTGAGAGATCATGAAAGTTTTGAGTATTACTGTCGGATATAAAAGGTCTAAAAATGTGTAATGATCATAAACCTGTTTGTTGCACCTTGCTATAAATGACCACCTGTAATATTCTTTTCATCTTGATATATATGGTTGATTGATAGAGATGGGTTACATTATTTGACTGAAATAAATTATACTGCAATAAGAAAGAAACTAAGTTACGGGATACAACCTTGAAATTTCTAAAATAATCACTTTAATTGAAGAGGAAAACTGAATTCTCTTCTGAATCATAACATAAGTGAAATATGAAGGTACATATTAGTGATCAGATTTACATTCCCAATTGGTGAAGCATATAATGTATTGGCACGCTTAATATGATCTACTCCAATATGAAAGGAGGGGGAATGTAACATAAAATTTCATAAAGGATAAAATAAGTGATACATGGTGTCACCAATGGACAGGCAGACGGAAAGCACACCCAGTGAACTCAACAAAAAAAAAACTTTTGTTTTAATTTGGTAAGCCAATTAACTCAACATGAAAGAATGAGGGAAGAGAAGAATGTACCTTATCCAACTTGAAGATTGATGAGGACAGAAAACGAAAAGTTGAGACCGTGCAGAAACACAAAAACAAATCTCAGCTGGTGTTTGTAATGGAACAATGTCGCTGAAGGACATCATGGTTGATTCGTAGTAGTTCAATTACTACGAATCTCAGCTGGTGTTTGATGGGTTACACTATGATTTAAAGGTGGGTGTCATGACAGCCATGAAACGTAGATGAGGGTTTCCTAGTTTTGCCATACATGAAAAAGGCATGAAGGCATCACGCCGTGGAATCTCAATGATTTGGGGGAGCGATAACGATCGCGACGTTTTCTTTTCCTGCCGTTCCAATTGATGACTACGGGAAAAGAACGATCTGTTTTGCATGATGGCTGGACTGGTGTGGTGGACTTCAATGGGCTTCATTGTAGGCCCGTCCACTAGAAGCCTAGGGACATGACGTTTAACGCTGATCAAACCACACAATTCCAATCTAATGGTCCAAAACAATTAAGATGATGTGGCAAAGCGAGAGAGCAGGAAAATAAAATTAGTGGGGATGACTTGTATAGGTATATAGCACTACATGAATTCTAGGCTTCTGTGACGATTACATTATGACGATATCAGCCTGTTTCGTGTCACTGCCTGCCAGCAGTGATGAAATGGCTGTCATCACAAAAGGTGGGTCACTAACCAGCTTCTGTGACCACCAAAGGACATCGTCATTGATACAATGACGATAGTTCTCCTGTCATTGATGAATGACGAGACAAATTCGTCATAACAAATTGAACCGAATAACACCACGTGTATGATGACATGTGATACAGATGACAAGGCAGGTGATGTAGCAAATGACATGGCAATTCACATTCGGCCCATATACATGGGCTTTTTTATTCTCAATTACAATTGGCCCAAATATTTTTTTTGACCCAGCTACAAATTTGCTTTTATGGGCCAATCCAATTAAAAAGCAATCACAGAATATAAACCACAACCATTTGAATAATTATATTATAATCACATTCCAGCCATAATTAATTTCCCAGCTCATACAAAAGCAAGTTCCAGCATTCAGTTTGCAACATGTTCCATACAAAAGCACAAAACATGATTACAAAATGATCCATCCACCATCCAACTACACAAGTCCCAGCCGACTACAAAGTTCCTATAGGTAGTGCCAAGTTCTTGCACCAAAAAATTCCACCTAGCAGCCACTACATTAACACGAGCCATCAAATTCCAAGCTCAGACACCTCATTCCTGCCATCAAAAGGTGCATGTTTTCAGTTGCTGATGAATAAAAAGTCCATTTTGTTTGGATTTGGAGGCAAACAAATGAGCAAACAGTGTTTAGAGAGTAATAATCCAGCAGGTAAATTGAGTAATAACAATATATTGATATGGCTCTTTTCCAGCAAGTCCAAACAAATGGCTCTTTTCTAGTCACAACTAAATCCAAACAAATGGCTCTTTTGCAGCTAATAATCCAGAAAAAATAGAGTATCTAGATTAATCAATGAAATGGCTCTTTTCCAGTCACAACTAAACAATATCTAATTTCACAGTAACAACAACTATAAATAATCCATCAAGTAAATTGAAATAGGCAATTTTGATACACACCATGAACAAAAAATTCAGCCACCAATGAAACAGTACAATAGGCTTGATATGGATGCAAATGCACAAGAAACAAGTTAAAGCTATGTACCTGAGCATACAACTAGCTTAGGGAGGATTGATCTGACCTTGTCCAAATGCTATTATTTGTCGAAGGAGGTCCTGATGGTGAAGTGAGGGATTCCCGGGCATGCATATCCTCCTAGCAATTAAAGCAAGGTTTCAGTTTTGCATTATTATATAAATAAAGGTTCATTACGATTTATCACATCTTATTAATTAAAAAAAATAGCACATCTTACCTCACTACACAACTGTGTCCTTGGAGATTCCAAATGTATAAAAGAAAAGACAAGTTTTACAGCGGATCTAGGAGTAGCAGAATCAATCTAGACCTTTCATATTTTCTCATCCGATGGACTATATCTATTTATACTACCACCTTAACCACTAGCAGTAGAACTTATAAATCAATGTCTTAGATTTATACTACTAAAGGAGATCACTGTAAAAGCCCTTAAAAAAAAGGCATCTGCTTGGTCAATCTTACATGTTTCAGATAGCATAAAAAGACTCCGACATCTCGTGCAAAAATTGAACTTACTGTTTACACCCAAATTTGGCACCTATGGACGAAATAGAGGAAAATTGCCAAAGTTTGGAAAGTACCGGGTTTCCTTCACGGGGCCGGTCAGACCGCTGGTATATGGGCGGTCTGACCGGCTAGTAGGGCCGGTCTGACCACAGGTATGTGGGCGGTCAGACCAGCAGGGTCTGAGTCCAAGTCTGTTTTCGTCGGGTCTCAGGTTTCCTTGCTCGGGAAGACATGTTTTGTGTTTCCATTGGTTTCTATCCCGAGTTGGACATGGAGGAGGGCCTGTAGAGGGCAAAACCAACCCCTATTTAAGGGACAAGGCCGGTTCATTGTAAAACCCCCAAATAGAATTTACTTGAATCGTTCTTTTACTATGTTTTTCTATTTTACCCCAGTTTAGTCCATCTTCGTCGGTTTGCGCCGTAAACCGTCCGCCGCCACTGCGAGAGTGCGACATCTCTTTGTAGGTTTGTCCTGAAAACCTTCCGTTTTGCCCACGAGACGGGTAGTTATCCTCATATCGATCTAAATCGGCCTAGAGGCTGATTTTGATCTCTAAATCGGCTCCGCTAGCCGGTTTAGCTGTTTTTCCTCAAAACCCATCTTGATTTGGCCGTTTGGCTAGATTGAGATGGTTGGCGACTCCATACGACCGCAAGGCGTTTAGGTGTTGCGATCGTGCTTGTCGACTTGTCAAAAAAGTCAACACGATTTTTGACGACTCCGCTGGGGAACGATGTAACCGGCCATATCACGGCCGAATTTTGTTTAATCTAGTCATCTCGTCGAATAGTTTGTTTCGGCCAAACGGCCGAAATTAATCTATACCTTAATTAGTCGCTGCACTGTTCTTATCGCTGGATTAATCTATTCGGCGGCGAAGCTATTTGGTCGTCATCAAATTCATATAAGCACTTGCCGTGTGTATCGAAAATCATTATCAGGAAGCAGCAGACGGCTTAGCAACGTTTCCTTATTGTTTCACACGGCAACAGAGAAAAGATCAGGCTACTAGAGCCGATCTACCGGGTCACAAGCAGCAGAAGCAACATCAATCTGTTAGCACATACATTAGCACATCTACTGAAGAGAATTAAAAAAAAATCAAAGCCGATTCATATTGTTTCGGCTGTTATTGTGAGATCGAATTTCTGAATTTTTGCTTACACACGAGGAGACAGAAGCAATTCTATTTTAGTTGCACACACGCTTGTTATATTCAAAGGAAAAATCAACACCGTATATTAATTTATTTAGTCAAATATTTCGGCTATGAGCTATATGGCCGAAATTAATCAAGGAATTTCTTCATCAACCATGATGAGCGAGAACGAGATCATGCCGATCACATTGGATGATTTCGAAGGAGAAGACCGCAAGTCCATGGAGGAGTACATCAAGGAGATCACACAGGAGGCGTTGATGAGGGCGTGCACTAGGACTCGTCAAGGCGTGATGACCAAGCCCGGGCCACGTCCTAAGTTCGCTTCCGATTTTGTAAGCAATGAAGAGGTAACACAATCTATCCAACAAGTAGCATCTACAATAGATTCATCTATGACTGTTTTTAAAGATAGGTTAGATGCAACTTTTGAGGGTAAATTTGATGAGTTTTTAAGATTTAAAGTCGGCCCTCTCTTGGCCGATTTTATGGTAAAAGATAAAGCCTCTACCACTGCTAGCCAAGCTCCTATAGATCAAACAAGTAGTGGAACCAATGGAGTGGCGCATATAGCCGGTCTGACCGGGCCTGATGGCCGGTCAAACCGCGACTTCACCGTCGGTCCGACCAGCCAAACGGCCGGTCCGACCGGGTATTATCCCGGCAGTCAGACCGGGACTCAGGCCGGTCTGACCGCGCCTCTGGATGTCGCTCAGACCGGGCCCTAGACCGGTCAGACCGACGCAATCATACCGATTCAGGGGATAGATCCAATGACCAATTCTAGTTATTTGTATCATCTTAGAACATTTAATCCTCCTGTATCTACTGCTGCGACTAATCCCCAAGTTCCCCCACATGTTCCTAATGCTTATAATGATGTTGCTAGGGGGTATCATCCCGATACTAGGCAAGGCCAATATAATCATATTGCGCCGCAAACACAACCTATTAGGCCACCAAATCCACCACCAAATCAACATAGGCCTGATAATATGGAGGAAATAACTAGTGGGATTATTAGGGATAAATTCGGGATTGAAACTAGGAATTGTGCTAAGGTTTACCAAAAGCCGTATCCTGACTATTATGATAATGTGCCATTTCCTCGTAATTATAGAGTTCCCGAATTTACCAAGTTTAGTGGTGAAGATAGTAGGACCACATGGGAGCATGTAGGTCAATTTTTAGCGCAATGTGGTGAGGCTAATAGTGATACTTTTAAATTGCGCTTGTTTTCTTTATCTTTGTCCGGTACCGCATTTACATGGTTTACTTCTTTACCGGCAAATTATATTTATACTTGGGCTCAATTAGAACAAAAAATTCATGATCATTTTTGCACTGGTAAAACTGAGCTTAGGTTGTCTGATTTAACATCGGTTAGGCAAAAATAAAATGAATCTGTCATTGATTATATTGAAAGGTTTAGAGATATTAAAAGCCGATGTTTTAGTTTGAAAATAACTGACAAGATTTGGCCAACATTGCATATGATGGATTGCTTGATTCTATTAAAGAGAGGTTGAATGGCCAAATATTTCTTAATGTTGATCATGTGTTATGTGTTGCATGAAGCACTGGCTCAGGAAAGCCGGGTGGATGATAATAGCTTAAATGCTAGTTTAGATGATAGTGCAATATCATGTGTAGCCGAACCAAGCGACGGTTCGAATTGTGTTAATAATTTTTGCAATGATGCCATAGCGATTATAGCCGAACCAAATGTTGGTTCGGATTGTCTTACTAGCTTGGATGATAATGCAACAACCATTATAGCCGAACCAAGTGTTGGTTCAGATTGTGTTACTAAATTAGACAATAATGGAATAGCCGAACCAAGTGATGGTTCGGATTGTGTTGCTAGTTTAGACAATGACATCATTGAAAATATAGCCGAACCAAGTGACGGTTTGGATTATATCACAAGCGAAAGTGAAATAGCATTGTCACCTAAGACCGAATCACAAATCAGTCATGTGGATGTTGGAAAAGATAATGATAATGTCTTGCGGGATAGTAGTGAGATAGAATCTAAAATAGTTATGCATGTATCTTGAACATGTAGATTCGGTCCCATATCCGTAAGGATTTGAGGTGCCCAACTTCATGAAATTCACAGGTGAGAATGCTATGACTACAATGGAGCATATCGGCCAATTTATTGATCAATGTGGTAAGGTCGGTAGTAATGATTTGCTTAAGTTAAAATTGTTTCCTCTTTCTTTGTCAAACTTTGCATCTACATGGTATAGTTTACTTGCTCCTAATTCAATTTCTACATGGTCATAAATGGAGCATGAGTTTCATGATTATTTTAAAGATGCAAGCTTGATGGAGCAAAGACCGATTGATACTTCATCGGTCACTTGTGAAACTATTTCGGTTACATCTATGCCTAAGACCGGAATTGTTAGTGATCCTCTCCCTGTTAGTTTTATTGATGTTGGCAAAAAGAAAGGGAAAAGTGTTATTATTGGGGATCCTCGGCCCAAGAATAGGATAAAAAATGCGAAGGCCGAAGATCATAAAGTTGCAAAGGGTGAGTCATCTAGTTCCCAAAAGACCAAAAAGCCGAAGCTCACTTTTGAGATGCTTATGGCTAAGTACAATAAAGGATTAGCCGGTCAATGATTTGATAATCAAACTAGTGATTCAAAAAGACCAAGATCATCTTGTAGAAAAAGATTTGGTCAAACACCAAAGCAATCGGAGCCATCAACTATACCAACTCCATACAAACCTCCGGTAGTGATGCCATGGTATCCATATCCAATGTCACCATTTGGTTATCCTTTTATGTATTATATGCTGTGGATGCATCAACCACCTATGCCGTATTATCAAGAGTGGAAGGAATCACCTAGGTCAGTACCAACTCATTCATTTAACTCTAGTCAAGACCGTTTCCCACAAAAGAATCGGTCCGGTGGATCAAAGGTGAAAAAGGTAAAGAAGGTGTGGGTGAGAAAAGAAGCCAAAGCTCCGGAGGTCGTCACTATTAAGGAGGAATCTCAAGATGTTCAAGTACCTACTGGCACAGTTATTAAGACCGGACCGGACCGGTGGTCAGACCGGAAAAAACCGGAACCAGAGCCCCCGCCGGTCCGGTCCAGGTAAAAGATGTTCAAGTACCTACTGGCACAGTTATTAAGACCGGACCGGACCGGTGGTCGGACCGGAAAAAACCGGAACCAGAGCCCCCGCCGGTCCGGTCCAGGTAAAAGACCGGTATGCAATTGAGCCGGCTATGAACCGGCTAGACCGCCCGGTTTCGGAGAAAAACCGCTATTAAACCGGGAATAAAAACCGCTTTGAACCGGGCTCTTGACGGCTGGCGACGAAGCGCGTGCATGGCCGCATGGGCACGCGCTGGTGGGGGAGAAAAATGAGTGAAAATACGCGCTAGGGTGAATTAGAACCCAGGACCACATGGGAGGAAGCTAACTCACCGAACCACCACGCTACCAAGCGCCTTGTGTTTGGACAGAATGATTAATATATTTAACACGTATTGAACCGGATTAGACCAACGGCCTAACCGGTTGAACCAGTGAACCATTGAACCGAGAGCCTCACCGGTTCAATTACCGGTCCGGTCTTAATAACTATGCCTACTCGAGATGCGGCGAAAACTATACAAGCGGAGAAGATTGAAGCCGATACCGTTACTGTCCACATCGGCGGTCTGACCGAGGCGTCTGGCCGGTCTGATCGCCAGACTACGGCCGGTCTGACCAACCCTCCTGGCCGGTCTAACCGACGGCTTGCAGCCGGTCTGACCGGGCCCAGAGGCCGATCAGACCGAGGGGCATTAAAGGTGAGCGGGAAAATTGAGAGCAACACAGGAGCTTCTACTTCGCCCAAAACTATTAAGAATCATTGTTTAGCTCCTGGAAAACAACCACAGCCGAAGTGGATACCTTCTGGCTTATCTCGCTCTCAAAAGAGGAGGCTACAGCGTCTTCGAGCCATAGGTCAAAAAGAAAAAGACGCCGAAGATGTAGAGAATAAAACATGTAATAATTTAGAGCCTCGAACGACACCTAAGCGAGTGTGGAGACCTAAAGAAGTAAAAGTTAAAAGATCGGTGATTTCATGGAGTAGTGATGGATTCAATTTGATGAGAGAAGAATCATCGGTCATTAAAAAAAGGGTTTGTTGGAACCATGCCACCCTAATTTTGCAAAATTTGAGATATGCCACCCGTATCTCAATGACATGTAGGACCCACATGAGTCAATGACATGTGGGTCAGGATGGCATATTACAAATTTTGCAAAATTTGTGTGGCATGGTTCAAATTTTCCCTTAAAAAATAAGTCTCCTTCACATGATGCTGTGGATGTTGGTGCGGTGTTCGTCTTGCCTTTGAAATCGTGCAGTCGAGAAAGCCGATTTTGCTTGGGGGGCAAGACATTATTATGCTTATGAAGGAACCAAGAGAGGATGAACGGCGATAGATACAACATCACATCTTTGAGCTGTCGTTTGTTGGATGCTAAGGCAATGTATGGGTTTATTGTGTTCATCATCATATTATATGCCTATGCCATGTTAGAACATTGCTTACTATCTAGCACATGTGTGTTTTTGCTTATCAAATTGATATTATACATACATGTTGCAAATACCAGTTCTAATTAGTGGAATTGGTAAGTTGGCATATAATTTGTTTGAATGTATGATTTGGCTCATGAGTCTTTGATATTTATTTGAAGCCAAATTATGGATGTTTTTATGGATCGCCATATAATATATAGATTTCATATTTATTGCACCATGAAAATTTTGCTTAGTAATTCCGCTAATGTCAATGGTGAATATGATGATTTGCTCTAGAGTGGTTTTCTTTAGGAACATTGGGATTATTAATATTTTGCATACATGCTCAAGCCGATTACTTACATTTGTAGTTTATTCGAATCTATGCATGTGACACATATGATTTTGGTGATTCATTATTGATCATACTTCAATTGGCTAAGTGTTTTGATGCCATGATGATTATTGTTTCAAAAGCCATTTGAATTAGTATTCATCTAGACATGTTAGTTGGATGTTATAGTTTTTCATATGTCTAGAGAGAAGGAATTTTGGTCCAATAATTTGATACACCAAGCATCTGGCTATTATGTGAAAAAAAATTATATACTAAAGGCCGATGCTTGATTTCAAAAGTTTGGACGAAATTAGCAAAGTCATAGACCAGGGGCGGTCTGACCGGCATTGCACGGCCGGTCTGACCGGTGGTACCGGCGGTCTGACCAGCTCTGCATGACCGGTCTGACCGGGTAGATAGGGCGGTCTGACCGGTATTGTGTGGCCGGTCTGACCGATCCCGGACAGGGGCTGGGGGGCACGTTACAATTGATTAAAAGGCCGAATTAATTGTGAATTCGGACATTTGTGCCCATGAGTTAGAAATAGCTTGGAGAATTCCTTTGAATAGAATATTTGAAAGATCCTAGTCTTAAGGTTGATCAAAAATTCAGCGGCAAGAGTTCAAATACACTTTGCTTGATGGAGAGTTATATCGCCGAAATATAGATGGAGTGCTATTAAAGTGATTGGATAATGATCAATCTAGAGTTGCTATGGGAGAAGTTCACGTAGGGATTTGTGGAATTCATCAATCGGCCCATAGGATAAATTGGTTGCTTAGGAGAGTGGGGTTTCATTGGCCGAAAATAATTGATGATTGTTTCAAATGCTATAGAGGGAGTGAAGCTTGTTAACGGATCGGCAATGTTCAATTAGCGCCTACCGCTGTGTTGAATCCTATCATTAAACTATGGCCGTTCCGAGGTTGGGCTTTAGATTTCATTGGTCAAGTTTATCCTTCGTCATCAAAAGGGCATTGGTTCGTGCTAGTTGCAATGGGTTACTTCACTAAGTGGGCCGAAGCTGTGCCGCTCGAGAATATTACTTACACGGAGGTAATTGACTTTATTTTTAAAGCATATTGTTCATAGATTCGGTATTCCTTAAACTTTGATCGAAGATCTTCTTTTATGTCCAAGGAGGTGAGAAGTTTTGCCGAATTTTATGATTTTAAGTTGTTGAGTTCTTCTCTTTACTACGCTCAGGCTAATGGATAAGCCGAGTCGGGTAATAAAATATTGTTGAAATTAGTCGAAAGGAAAATTGAAGAACACTCAAAGAAGTGATATGAGGTGCTTTCAGAGGCATTATGGGTTCATGGGATATTTAAACATGATGCTACTAAAGTCACTCCTTTTGAGTTGGTTTATAGACAAAAAGCTGTTTTGTCGGTTGAGGTAAATCTTGGCTTTCTTCAGTATTTCAAGCAAGACGACTTGTTGATTGAAGATTACAATACCTTTGATAGAAGGCAATTTTGAAGACGTCATCAACAAGCGTTTGAAGACTTTGAGGAGATGAAGATACTTCAAGACGGTGTTTTCAGAGAGCAATCAATGGGAAATACTTGAAGAAATACTTCCCGAGCATTTGGCAAGATGCTTAGGAAGTCCTATGGCCGGTAATTAGATTATCGCCCTGAGATAACATGTTCTATGCTTTTAGGTTCACGTATGTTCACCAAAAAGACGGGGGTATGTGTTTACACCCAAATTTGGCACCTATGGACGAAATAGAGGAAAATTGCCAAAGTTTGGAAAGTACCGGTTTTCCTTCACAGGGCCGGTCAGACCGCAGGTGTATGGGCGATCTGACTGCAGGTATGTGGGTGGTCAGACCGGCAGGGTCCGAGTCCGAGTCTGTTTTCGTCGGGTCTCGGGTTTCCTTGCTCGGGAAGGCATGTTTCGTGTTTCCATTGGTTTCTATCCCGAGTTGGACATAGAGGAGGGCCTGTAGAGGGCAAGACCAACCCCTATTTAACGGACAATGCCGGTTCATTGTAAAACCCCTGAATAGAATTTACTTGAATTGTTTTTTTTACTATGTTTTTCTATTTTACCCCAGTTTAGTCCATCTTTGTCGGTTTGCGCCGTAAACCATCCACCGCCGCTGCGAGAGTGCGACACCTCTTTGTAGGTTTGTCCTGAAAACCTTCCGTTTTGCCCACGAGACGGGTAGTTATCCTCATATCGATCTAAATCGGCCTAGAGGCTGATTTTGATCTCTAAATCGGCTCCGCTAGCCGGTTTAGCTGTTTTTCCTCAAAACCCATCTTGATTTGGCCGTTTGGCTAGATTGAGGTGGTTGGCGACTCCATACCACCGCAAGGCATTTAGGTGTTGCGATCGTGCTTGTCGACTTGTCAAAAAAGTTGCCAACACTTACCAATGTGGTGAAAACAACTGGAAGAAAAAAAAACAATGCAGAGCATCCAGCTAAGATCGATGTATAAAGCAAAATATATCATTAGTCCCTTATGTTCTACTACTCCATTTCAGAACATTAGCCAGCTTTATTGGTAAGTTCAATTTCAGAACATAAAGTCGACAGATAGCATCGAGAGTATCATCACATTTTTACCTATGAGCTCATCCTATATACAAGATGCTATTATAAAAGTCGGTGCACTGTGTTAGCTTACTAGATTCCAATATAACATAGAACAATAAAATCAACGGAGGAAAGAAAGGCAAGCAGTGAGACACAATACTTGTGCAGACGAAAACAGCCAGCCACAATAAAACAGTCCATGGCATATTCATATTATAAATTATAGTATTATACTAGCAGGAATCAGCTGGAAGCTATGAAAATAGGAGCTGCTACATAAAACAGGACTAGCTTGGTCCCCGGACAAATTTAGGAATTAGCTTTAGCTCTTACTGAAAAGGTAACAGCATGAATGAATGAATGAATGAGTTCTAGGGGGCTAGACTGCTAGGGTTACACACACAGTTCAAATTACAGCTAAACAGAGGCAGGAATTTTGGCACGAAGCAGTTCATAGCCAGAAACACTTCGATCAATTTCATCCGTAAAGGAACACCAGAAACACGAATTCATCGTAGTGTTCGATCGTATCTGCGAGACGCGACTAGACCACACACTAATCTAAGCTTCCCACGCGGAGGAATCGCCAACTACACGAGCTCTCACACGAGTAAAACAAATAAAATCAAACCCCCCAGATCTAGCAACTCCGCTCCGGAGACCAGGGTTTTGACCTCACTTACGTCGCGGGGGTTGGGGGAGATTGAGATTTAAGAGTGAGGGAGATGAAGTGAAGGGACTTGTCTAGTGTACTGACTGGGGTGGCGGGAGCGGAGAGCCCTGTCATGGTCGGTGCTCCATTGCATGGTGGACGCCGCCGCCACCGGTAACTTTTTCGCCGGAGGGCGCCGCGGGGGGGGGGGGGGGGGGGGCTCGAACTTGCGCTCCTTCTTGTCGCCGTCGCCGCCAGACTTGCGCTCACCGGGGGTGCCACCCTGCTTGCCCATGCCTCCGGGAGTGCCCTGCCCCATGCTCCTCGCTGGATCTGGCCGGCGGGAGGCCAGATCTGGTGGCCCTGAGGCCGGCCTGCCGCCGCCTACGGGATGTAGGTGAGTGGCTTCCCGCCCGTGGTGCGGGACGAGGCGACGAGCACCCCGTACCCATAGGCCGCCGACCTCCGGGGGACGCTGAGGTAGGGGAATAGGGAGGAGAGACCGCCGCGGCGGATGAGCCGTTGGAGGAGGAGTCGCGGCGGCAGTGGTAGTCGCCGTCGGAAAAGAAGGGAAAAAAAGAGGAAAGAAAAAAATGACGCGCATGGCGTCGGCAGCGCGGCGTTGGCCTCGGCGGCGGCGGAAGACGCGCGCGGCGGCGGAGGAGGAGGCAGATGCGCGGGAGGCAGACGCGCGTGGCGGCTGAGTCGACCTCGGCGGCCCGGCGGCGGCGGGGAGGCAAACGCGAGCGGTGGCGGAGTCGAACGCGCGGGAGTCGACCTCGGCTGTGTCGGAGTCGGCCTCGGCGGCGAGCCGGCGACGGATTCGGCCTCAACGGCGACGGCAGAGTCCTCGGCGGCGGCGGCGGCGAAGGGGAGTAGACACGGGCGGCGGCGGAGTCGGCCGCGGCGTCGTCGGAGACTTCGGCGGCGGCGGCGGAGGCCTCGGGCGGCGGCGGGGAGGCAGATCGCACGGCGGCGGAGGAGTCCTCGGCGGCGGCGGTGGAGGGGAGGTAGACGCGGGCGGCGGAGTCGGCCGCGGCGTCGTCGGAGACATCGGCGGCGGCGGCGGAGGCCTCGGGCGGCGGCGGGGAGGCAGATCGCACGGCGGCGGAGGAGTCCTCGGCGGCGGCGGTGGAGGGGAGGTAGACGCGGGCGGCGGCGGAGTCGGCGGCGGCGGCGGTATCGGCCTCGGGCATCGGCGGAGTCGGCCTCGATGGTGAGGAGGAGCGACGACGGAGTCGGCTGTGGCGTCGTCGGAGTCCTCGGCGGTGGCGGCGTCGGCCTCGGGCGAGGAGGAGCGGCAGCGACGGCGAAGTGAGGAGGAGGGAGAAGGATGGGAGAGAAAAGAAGCGAACCGTTTTTTTTAATGGTATAGGTGGGTAATTTTTTTTCCCCAAAAGCAGGTGAAAGCAGGGGTAGAGGTGCTTTTGAGTTGTACTACACCAAAAGCTGGCTTTTGGCAAAAGTAGCTGTGGCTTTTGAGCCCTTTGGTTGGCTTTTAGCTTTTGCAAAAGCAAAAGCAGGTTGAAAAGCTCAACCAAACACACCCTTAACAGTATTTACCAAATTGTATGGATAAAACGAACATTTCACCTTAAATTTTATTTTTGGCATGACCGCCAAGATTGGCGCCTAAAAATTTGGTTCCAGCCACACCAAAATTTTGGCGCCTCTCCAGCATTAACTTTTTTTTCAAAAAAAAATACAAATAATATCTTGTACTTTTTAATTTTAATTTATGAGAACTTTAAATTTAATTTTAGACTGATTTTTATGTTTCAAATGCAAAAATCATAAACAACAAAATTGTAGAACTCATCGAGATCTACAACTATTGTATTGGTCCTTTTTACAAATAAGTTCATTTGAACAATTCAAATTTTAAATTTTCAAAATTTAACAACTTCAAACAAAAATTGGGTTTAATAAATAATTTTAAATGGAAAAGTCACCAAAACCAAAGTTGTAGAACTTATCGAGATGCAAAATTTTTATTTTGGTCATTTCTCCATCTGACTCTATTTGAATAATTTGAAATTTGAAAAATTCAAAGTTTGAGAACTTCAAATATAATTTTTTATTAGTGAACGACTTCAAATAAAAAAGTCATCAAAAACAAAGTTATAACATCAATATCTATAACTTTTATTTTGGTTTTTTCTTCATCCGATAAAGTGATAGTAACATTGTTCACAAAATTTATATATCTCTCTTATAGTTTATAAACTATATAAGAGATGTGTAAATTTTGTGAACAATGTTACCATCACTTTATCGGATGAAGAAATGACCAAAATAAAAGTTATAGATATTGATGATTTATACAACTTTGTTGTTGATGATTTTTTCAGTTGAAATCATTTAGTATTTCAAAAATGTTGTTTGAAGTTGTCATAATTTGAAATTCAAATTCAAATTATTGAAACAAAGCCATATAGCAAAATGACCAAAACAAAAGTTGTAGATATTGATGACTTATACAACTTTGTTGTTGATGACTTTTTCAGTTGAAATTATTTAGTATTTGAAAATGTTGTTTGAAGTTATCATAATTTGAAATTCAAATTCAAATTATTGAACCAAAGTCATATAGCAAAATGACCAAAACAAAAGTTGTAGATCTTAATAAGTTATACAACTTTTTTGTTGACAATTTTTTCAATTGAAATCATTTACTACCGAAAAATTATTTGAATTGAGAGGAGGGAGGAAAATAGACTTCCTTGCAAGGGAGGAGCAAAAGGACTGGGCCGGTGGCCTGAAGAGGGAGGAAGAGAGAGAGGGGCTGCAGGCTGAGGGAGGGTGAGAGTAATACTTGGGCCGAAAATGGCCCAAGTACATAGAGAGGAATTTTAATTTGTTTTCCATTTATTATAATAGGTTAAAATGAACTTTGTGGTATGAAAATTAGTTATTGAGCTCCGAAAATTCACAAAAAAATTTCAGAGAATAATTTAGACCACGTAGAATATTACAAATATATTTCCAGCCATGATTTTTAAAGCAAAATTTTTCGTCACTAAGCCTCCCCATCTCATACTAATTAATCGTCATAAAATGGAATGTGCTAATGACGAATAGCTCCGATGTTACGAGAAATTCGTCATAGAAGGTCATATTTCTTGTAGTAATGTAGGTTCAAACCAACTTATAGCCATTTTAAAGTTTTTTCATTCAATCATAAAATGAAACGCCATAATTCTGATTTTTTTATTCATAAAATAAGACTAGCGATGACTTCAATCCTAAAATACTAAAATGAGAGACAAGAAGAGTCCACCTAGGACAAACGATTTGTGATCTAGCAGCAATGTAGTATAACAAGATTTTTTTTGTTTTTTAAAAATATAATAGTTCTATATTTTATGACGATCCACTATTGTCATCGTGCTATCTTCACAGAGCCCATGCAAAGTATACTATGATGATGATTATGACAAATACACAGTTTGGTCATAAACAGTTATCATCCTATGAACAGTCGTCATAAACAGCCTCTCTGTTTATGACATATATGTGTTCTGTCATTAGGTAATCGTCACAGAAGCCCAGATTTGTTGTAGTGTAGGATAATAGGTGAACAACATGGATCTAGAACATGCACGATATATGTATAAGATATGCTCCCCCAAATATATGCATATAATGGAATATATAATGGAGACAAATATATGCATAATTAGAGAAAAACCAATGGGGTTTGTTCCCTACACATGGAGAACGCATGTAGCAATAATAAAGACACATAAATACAAACCTTCATTATGTTGATGTTCTCAATGTAAAGAAGACTAAATAAGATAAAGTTCAAGTAAACATTGGTCTCACTCATATATACTCCCTCCTTCCAAAAGTCTCAGTCGTATTACGTTTTGCTCCAAGACCAAGGAACTCTCCGACGCATTTAACCATCGCTACATCTGCATGGATTTAGAGGAAGCGACGCTTCGGTTGATGCACGATACGCGTGTGTGCAACACCGCAACCGTCCGCGCCCACCGCTCGCGAATAGGCAACGGATGGATTTGCATGCATGCAAAAGAATACTGTTCGGTTGCTGAGAGGAATTAAATCCATGCATGTTTAACGAAGAGACCAGCTACACATTTAAAGCCTGCATGCATGCATGCAGAGTGGAATGCGCCCATCTCATCTGGAAAAACAAGAAAACCAAATACGACTGAGACTTTTGGAAGGAGGGAGTATTGACTAGGTGATTCCCCGTGCTTTGCTGTGGGATTTACGAAGGAATTCTCAAAAAAAATGGCAATCAAGTTAGAAGTAAAAAGAAAAAAAATAATAAAACATCAGGTTTATCAGTCAAATCATACCCATGCTTTGGTCAAGCATTGACTAAAAACACACGATATTATGGATTACAAAGATTGTATGGATAATCAATATCAAAGGTATGGCATATAACAAAGTAGGACATTCACATATAAATAGCATGCAAACTTTATTTAAATCAAAATAAGTTCGCAATAGGTCCAATATGCTCAAAGATTAGTGATGACTTGCCTTGCTCACTGTCTTGCTGTCCTTGTTTTGCAGTCAACTCAACCACTCCCTCGGAATCTATATGTACGTGCGAAAGATTCGATTTGAATTCAATTAGAATTCAAATTAAATCACCAAAATTCAACAGTACAAAAATAAATAGCAAAAGTGATTCCATCAGCTATATCTTGATTTTAGATGAATTTAGGTTCAAGTTTCATTTAAATCCGAGCTAAAATGAGTGAGCTATGCTTGTTTAAAGATTCAAATTTGAATTAATTCAAACAGTTGTGAAATGGCACTGTGCAGCCGAGAGGGGCATGATTACAGTGGCTGACATGTAGGGTCACCCCATTTCTTTTTCCTTTGTTTTTATTTTCCCATAGAAAATGCAGAGAGTCATTGACAAGTGGGACCGGCCCTATTTGACCTGGGTCCAAACCAGCCCTTTAATCCCGGTGGGTCCCGCATGCCATTGACAGTAACTTCATAATCAATTTTTCTTTGATTTTTCTAATCATCCAATCCCACGTGTAATAGATTAATTTGCATTGGATTAATAGGTGATTACTGTGCACTAATCTCTATGTGGGGCCCACAGCTTCTCTCTCTCTCTTCCTTTCTTTCTCTCCCTCGGTCGTCTTCCTCCTCCCGACGCGCAGGGCAGCGGCGCGGGCGCACGGCTAATGCGACCAGCCCGAGCCGGGACGGCTCGGCCGTGGTGAGGGAAGCGGCGGCGCACCACCGGAGACCCACCGCCGGCAGCAACGAGGCGCGGCGGCTACAAGGGGCATGACGCGACGGACGGGTGGCACGGAGCTCACGGCGAGCTCGGCCATGGCGCGGGAGAGGACGAATTAAACCTAACCGAGCCTAAATTCACCATCTAGGGTCTCTAGTGAACTAATTCATGCAATAATATGGCCTAGGTTAGTTTGGAACTAGTGCCGTCCACGGTGAGCTCAACGGTGGCGCAATGGCGGCCCGTCGGCAGGCTAGCAGCGGCACACACACCTCAAATCGAGGGGGCCAAATGTTTCTAGGTCAGTAGAGGGTGCTAAGAGCGCAAGTATTTACCGTGCGGTGGAGCAACGGCATAGGTCGGTGATGCGCGGCACGGTGCGGGTGAAGCAGGGGCGAATCGACGTCGGCAGCGCACGCAGGTGTTCGACGCACTCTCCCCGACGTCCAGCGGCTCCCGGCGTTGATGCAAGGCAGCAGAAGAAGTAGAGGCGGCCCGAGCCACAGCTCCCGCGGTCAGCTACGCCGGCTTCGGCTCCAACCAGTGATGATGAAGCATGCTCACAAGGTGTTCGATGAAATGTATTCGAGGAAAAGGCAGATAGGGATGGAGTTTTTATGGGGGGGATTGGCTTGGGGATAAGCCAGGATGGCGTGGAGGATAGGATCGGCAGCTGGTGCACTCAATGGCTGTCTATACGGCCTAGATTAGGGAGGTTGACGCGGCTATGTTTCCTCCTCCTTTTCCATTAAAGTTCTGTAGCAGATCATTGCATCTATGACCCCTATACTGTGTGTTCTAGCCCTAGCTAGAGAGGAAGGCTCCGTTTTACCCGCTGGTTACAATGGAGGAGGGACCCGGCATCCGCATTCGGATAAGGTGGCGGACGTGGCGACGGCGATGCGCGCACATGGCGATGGCAGAGCGGCGGCTTGGTGAGGGCGGGTTTTCGGGTGTAGGGCGGTTGGATAGGGTTTAGGGGTGGTGTGGGGGTGACGTCGCGGCCGTTACCCCTCGGCTCCGAGACGATGGGCGACGCGACGTTGCTGATGCGCGCTCCCGTGGCGGCGCGGCTTTGGCGCGGGTTTTCGGTGGCTCGGTCGGCGGCGGGCCCACGCGGTGTGGCGCACGGGCACGCCCAATGCGGCGCACGAGCAGAGAAGGCGCGTGCGCGTGCACGGGGAGGCGGATGCTGCGCTGGGTGTTTGGCCGGGTTAGAACCGAGTCGAACACCTGGCGCACAATGAACAGAGCCAGGCTGTAAATTTAGGGTTTTTGATTGATTTTATAAATTGAGGAAAAAGGTCTATTTCAATTTATATTTTCACCAATGCATTTTAACGACAATATGAAGTATTCAAATGTGAATTTTGTTCAAAATTAATATTGTCCAAATTTTTAAATTGTACTATACCTTTTATGATTTCCTATACTTTTGGGATTTTGGTATTTATTCGTTTTCACCATGTGTTGGTTTAACATAATTATCCTATATAACTTGTAGGCTTGGACAATTATTAATTATAATATACTAATATCACCATATTAATACAATGGCACATTGGTCGAGTTTATTTGTATTAACAATGTATTTACACACGGATAGGTTTAATCTATTTATTTCACAAAAGAAATTGAGACTTGGCACAATATTGATCTAAATATTTAATTATATACTCCCATCATTCAATCTCTATATATAAAGATCAATTTATTTTATGTGATCAATTATTTTATATGAGTGGATGCCATGACACAGTCACAATATTAATATTTGACCTATAAATTAAATTAGTAATTAACCTTCTCTTTATATGGCTTTGTTGTGTTGTGCGTAAATATCTATAGGGTTCATAATAAATATCTTATTTTTATAATTGTTACGTAGTTGTATAGCTTTAGCTTAATCTTCAATCGTGACAATTTATAGTTTGGCAAGCAATAGCAACCATAACATCCAACATGATGCAAAAGTTTTAAAAAGTTCAAAATTTTAGTGATTTTTATTGTCAGGAATTTTCAGGATGTTACAATGCATTGCCAGCAATGTTAGGTTCGACAACACTACCATTGTTCTGGTCATAATTTGTAATTCACAACATAGATTTTGGGAGGCAAAATGTTTGCATGATGGGCTTTTCTGCAGTTTCGTGGATCATTAATATTGATCCCTACAGTGTTCAATTCTGGTATTGTTTGGCAATCCAGGACGAAATATGTAGTGATGTCAGATGTTCCTTTTTTCCAGTTAATAATTTCAGATGTTCTTTTCACAGCACCTAAAGCTTTGCGGTGATAGTAGAGTCGCCAACCACCTCAATCTAGTCAAAGCTAAATCAAGATGGGTTTTGATAACTAAACCGGCTTGCGGAGCCAATTCTAGATAGAACGATAGACAACTACCCATCTCGTGGGAAAAACGGAAGGTTTTCAGGACAAACTTAAAAAGAGGTGTCGCACTTTCGCAGCGGCTGCGGACGATTTACAGCGCAAATCGACAAAGATGGACAAACTAAGCAAAAAACTAAAAGCAATATGAAAAACGATTCGATTGATTGTTTGTAGATTGATTAGTTACATTGATGCAAAAGTTTGGCAAGCAATAGCAACCATAACATCCAACATGATGCAAAAGTTTTAAAAAATTCAAAATTTTAGTGACTTTTATTGTCAGGATTTTTCAGGATGTTACAATGCATTGCCGGCAATGTCAGGTTCGACAACACTACCATTGTTCTGGTCATAATTTGTAATTCACAACATAGATTTTGGGAGGCAAAATGTTTGCATGATGGGCTTTTCTGCAGTTTCGTGGATCATTAATATTGATCCCTACAGTGTTCAATTCTGGTATTGTTTGGCAATCCAGGACGAAATATGTAGTGATGTCAGATGTTCCTTTTTTCCAGTTAATAATTTCAGTATGTTCCTTCTTTTTCAGATTTCAGATGAAGAATCATCGACAACTAAAATGAATTTTCTGGAGAAATGGACAACAAGATTTTCGCTATAGTGTACTCCCTCCGTACTCGTAAAGGTACTCGTAAAGAAAATCGTTTTGGACAGCGACACGGTCTCCAAAATACAACCTTGACTTCTTGTTTCTCTAAAAATATTTATTGAAAAGTGATATATGTATACTTTTATGAAAGAGTGAACTGCATGTTGGACTATATTTTCTTACCCTTGTTTCACAATGATCTAGGTGTTATCAAACATTTTTATTTTCAACCAGCTATAGTTACTTGAGCATGCAATTTGGACTAGACGCTCACATGTCAACCAGACCAGGTGTGTCTCTCCCTCTTCCCCTTCTCTCTTCCTCCTCCAGAAAAGTCATCCCCATCCCCACTATCGCTCCCTCCACTTACCTTTCCAGTCTGCCTATAGTAGTCTCGCTGCCCATCTGTTGTTTCCGTCGAGCTTGAGCATCTAGATTAGGAGCTTGATGACTAGATCAAGCACTAAACCAGATCCTGCTGCCGCTACCGTTGCAAGAGCAATCAGCAGAACACATGGGAGAAAAAAGAGTAGCTTCAGGGCAGGGCAGTTGAGGCGCCACAGCGGTGCAAGTGGAGCTCGAGCACGTGGCATGTTAGGCGGAGGTCGAGCTCAAGCACGCAGCTGGCAAAGGTGGCCACAGATGGAGCTCGAGCTCGAGATCAGGGGCAATGTAGACAAAGCTCCTCTCTTCAAGGCCATTAATTCCCCGCAGCTCTCAATACCTCAGGCTGGTGGTGTTGTGCTCACCTGCCGGCTTGACCCAATGTCACTGCCAAAGTTACAAACGATTGGCAGCCAGCAGCATCTTGATGTAGGAGCAAGCAGTGGCTGAGTGGAAACAGGGGATGTGGAAATGGATAGGGTGGTCTAATGTGCAACCCAAGGTAAAAGACTCTGGTCTAAACTAAAAATGTTGGATGTGCCATGGTCCAAAGTGAAACTTTGGTCATAATAACTAGCCCAATATGCAATTCACTCTTTATGAAATTATTTTTCAAGACAAATTTATTCATATAATTTTTACAATTACAAACTCAACAACTTAAGAGTTATTCATGATTTATATTCCAAAGGTTTGACTTAAACAGTTGTCCTAAACGAGTACGGAGGGAGTACTAAATTTTTGGATCACTTTTATTTTTTTTTTGGCCCTACTCATACACTTGAAATTTTATGGTTAGCCCTACTCATACACTTGAAAGTAACAACATGTATGTATATACAGGCATACAACACATGTAAGCATGGCCTATAGCGGAGGAGAGGAAAATTAATCAGCAAAAACATGGCTGCTTAATATTTGTAGAGACGTGTGGTGCACGTGCATACTTACTGGTAAGTACTACCTCCAATTATAATCACATAAGTCGTTTGACTTTTTCCTAATCAATTTTTTAAAAGTTTGATCAAGTTAATAGAAAAATATAACAATACTTTCAATACAATACAACATATTATCAAAATATATATTCAATGTTGTATTTAATGAGACTTATTTAGTGTTGTAAATATTGCTAAATTTATCTATAAACTTAGACAAAAAACTTAGCCAAAGCTAAAGAAATTTGAGTAAGAAAAAAACTAAAAACGGCTTATGATATGAAATAGAGGAAATATAATATATTAAAACAATTATTGAAGCCAAATCTAGCCGTAATATTTCTAAAAGTTGAATCTAAATATTCAAAGAGATATTAGTGGTCAAAGTTTAACATCTTGACTGCATGCATCATAAAAACATCACTTATTTGTGACGGTTGGTAAGAAACACATTCCAGGAGTTTAATCTAGTAAAGTTGACCAGGTCACCTTCATCGAGATAGATGCAAGCTCACCCAATATTTGTTGACTGGAACATCCATGGTTGATTGCTTTGAAAGAACAATAGCGTTCAACATAATGGTTAGAGCCTTTTTGGCCTACCTTCAACTTCAAATGCATCCAAGTGTCCAAGGATACAGCAACCACATATCTTCTTAAGCCACATGACTCACCAATAGGGCCATTGAAGAGTTGAATTTCTTTCCATACATCACTAACAAAACACAAGGAACTGAGATATAAATTGAAACCACTTTGCACATCTGATATGATAACTTGTATGGTGGCCTCTACGGCCCAGTAAACACGTGCTAAAGTGATATCAACTGCACCACAATCACCATTAATGCGTTTTGTGAATGGAAACGTTGCTGTAATTAGCCCGATATAATCTATTGCTCCATCAATTAACTGTAGGTCATCTTTTTCTTGCTCTCCTTTTTTTATCCTCATGTCAAACTCCAATAGAACAGAGCAACACATTGATATGCCTCGCTTGGGGCCAGTCATTTCAATCAGATCTCCCTAAAACATCATTAAAATTATTTAATAGCATCTCATAGTAAACTGAATGCAAAGCTTGATTTCTTTTCTAGCAAAGCATAGGCAGATCTCAAATAACAGTAACATAAATTATAGGCAAATTTGGCCATGTGACAAGATAGTTTGTACTTTGTAGCATGTGCTGTAGGACACTAAAATCATTGGCGCAGCTATGGCTATGCCGCATAATTTTGCAACTATCTGTGGCCACTATTATACATCTTACCAAAACAGGATAGAGAATCTAAACAAGAGGTAAATTTACCCTTGATTTGAGTGTTTTTCTCTACGTTACCTAGAACAGACCATGTGCGCCTCATCTTTCCTAACTAAACTACTGTATGGCCTAACCAGTGTTCATAACAGTCCGAGACAATTCAACAGTTCAGTTGACAATGAAAGAAGTCATACTTTTGATCCGCAAATGGATGGATCCAGAACTGGTCAGGCTTAAGTCATCCATTTGGTCTAGCAAACAAATTAAGGTCAAAAGTTTCTTTCGGTTTATCTCTGGTTTAAGTCACACATGCATATTACGATAATTGCCAGCGTGTGTTATCCAAATAGCCACAAAACTAGAGCGCCCCTTGGTTGAGCCACAATTTTTTTCTTGAAAGCACACGAGAGCATTGCACCACATTTTATTGTCTCACAACAAAAGATGCAAAATATAGGCACTTTTGCCTAATTCGAAACTAATATATAATTTCTCCAATAAACATAAGTTGTCCACAAAGTAAATTTTAAAGGGTTATGAAACCCAACAAAATTTATCATGCAAACAAAAAACCATCAATATGCGGATCGCATATAAAATCATGGCATGAGTGAATATTTTTTTTCCAGAGTACAAATAAAAATGAAAGCATAATTTGCAGATCCTCTAAGGCTCATGTATTCACGAAACAATCCAGGTAAGATTTTGAAGGTGGAGAAGATTTGCGAACTTAAATATTTATTGGAAACAAGAAGTCGAAAGGGTATTTATGTAGTTTAATGTCTAAGAAAATTATAATTGTCATTCACCATAGCAGTAGACTTGTCTAATATCATAATGACTTCAAATCGAAAGTTCCCATGTCCTACTTTTGGATATATTTAATCACCTCCAAGCATATTTTAGAAGCCATATCAACAGAACATGAACAAAATGTGTACCTGCCGCATAATGATGGGATTATCCCTGCTATAGTTGACAACATAATTAAGCAATTTATCCAAATCATCCCGCACTGCTATGTATCCATATAATTGTATGCAGTCATTGTCAATAGGAATTTTAGCCAACTTTAGTGAGAAAATTTGCATCATGGCACATGCTGAATGCATACTGCAAGTTTCCCAACTAGGTCGGCAATCTGTTGGCTCCGAGAACATCATTGGCTCCAACCGAGCTTCACCAAAAGATATCAACTCACAAATTATAACAATAGACAATGCTTATTACAAAGTGATAATTATGCTTTCCCTATTATGTGCTAAGTACCGAATTTTGTGTGGAAAATATTTAAAGGGACATTGAAGTTGACCAAATTGTCTTTTGTTAGAGCATGCTAAACTTCCATATTGCCAATAAGTAGATCGTTTCCCATGTCTGCAGCATAGGTCAAGCATAGGTTTTTTCTGGGACTATTCTAATAAAATAACATGAGTTCTTAAGTAAGTACGCAGAATTAAGAGAATAATAAGTCCGGCACCACCAAATACACTCTCTAGGTCTAATAGCCACATTGGTTAGGACAAGAATATGTAGGCTTTTCTTATTACACTTTATGGCTACTTATACATATGTGGTAATGCTGGGAACATTTCATGGCCATAAATATTTAGGCATGTGTGTTATTTGTGAAATTTTAGAAAAACAATGCATGTTTGCATATGAGTACGTAGGTAGAGCTTTCTAACATAATCATGTATATGTGTTTTATGATTGAGAACAACTAATTAGCTATTACATTTTAATTTTATATTTGTAAGGTGTTTTGTCGGATCAGTATAATTTTTGGAGAGATATGAATGATGCTTTAGTGCTTTATGCTGCAGTACAGCTAAGGTTTTGAAAACTGGTATTCACAAAAATATTGGTCTCCTAACCTCCAAAAATTTAAACTTTTGATTGGTAAATTTAAGAATTGAAATTTTAATTTACATTAATATCCTGCCGACCAGTAACTGGTACCTAAATGACCCGTCTTAGGCAGTTACATAATAGATGGTATGTTTGAACCATAGATATATACATAATGAGCAGCAGGATCGGCTAGAATTACAACAATATTTGGATTTCACCTAAGTGGATTGATTGCACATACGAATGAAAACAATAGTAGGAAAGAAGAAAATATAAAGAAATCATATTGTAGTTAGAGTAACAAATTTACTTGGCATTTTGGTTACCAGAATCCATATTATATTTATTAGTACTAAAACAAATCATATCAAATTAGAAAAAGAAGGAGAAGGTTTTGATCACTTACTCTCATCGCGGTTAGTGATACAGAAATGTCCTTCAAAGGCCTTATTTCTATATATAGAACCATCACGGTGTCTTGAATTCTCAATGATTGTCATCGAGAACATGTCAACAGCGGAATGGCTAACAACGAGCCCATTAATTCCCCCTCTCTTCTCTGCTCGATACATCTCTTCAGTGACAGCTCAGTGGTCGCCTTGGGCAGTGTTGTACAAAGATGCATTGGCATGAGGGGGGAAGCATCTGCTCCGAAATGGCTTGCCCCATTTGTTCTCCCCTTTCCCTCCAATGCTGGTTGTTGTTGATCCATACGAAAACCTAGTACCAAGGAGCACAAATGACTAGTGTATGGGTCAAATAAGATACTACCATATATCATCATCTGCTATGTGGGGAATTCCCTTGGAACGTCGCAGGAATGCGAGAGACCAGTAAGTGCGCATGGTGCGCCACAGCGGTGTTCTCGCCATCATGTGTTGCTCGCATTAGATAAGAATTATCCTTAATGTTTGAGGTTTGTTTCAGTTAGTTCCTATTCATTAGCAGATTGTAATCACCTATAGAAGGCCAGTTCGTGATGGAATAAATCAAGAAAAAATTAATCTACAAACTTCCTTCCTTTCTTACACCACGGCTCCGGGGAGGGCGAGGCCTCCCCGTCGAGCACCGCTACAACCTTCGCAGCAGTAATCTCTTTCTACTCTACAAATGAAGCCTGCTAAATAAATAATTGTAAACCTAAATAAGCTGATGTATCAGATTGAGAACTTAATTTCTTCGAATATATATCAATTTCAATTTTTCTTCCGGTTAGATTTAATGTGGAATTAAGAAAACTTTGTCCGAATTTGATTTTAAACACTCTAGATTCATAGTTCGCCCAATCCAGATTCAAAAGAAAAAAAATCAGCAGAACGAGCTACAGAAGTAGGGAAACGGAAGAACTCACCGGGAAGCCCGTTGTAGATGCCGCCATGAGTGGAGCATCTCGCTGATAGGGATATATAGAGGGGGAAGAGAAGCCACAGCACAAGGCGAAGGAAGATCGGAGAGGCCCGGCGTCGGATTAGGGTGAGAGCGTCCACAGAGACAGGGACTCCGAGGAGCTACGGCTCTGGATCCGCCGCGCTGGTCGACCTGGATTGGATGGGGCTTCTGGTTAGGCTGCGGGAATCGCTCCAGAATCAAGAGCTAGCGCGTTCCTGTAGGCCTTTTGGGAAGAAAATTTTGTGAGACATAGGGTTTGTTCATTTACGAGTAAATTGCATTGATAGTACTGTTTAGAGCATCATCAACAGATTATCTATAATTTTCTCCTAAAAATTTATTTTTGGTTTCCTAAACTGAAAATAAGAAGTGAAAAAACTCCTCTCTTCAAGAGATAGCCTAAATTCAATCTTCAAAACTTAAAAGTGGGCCCTTACGTTAAACTACCAAGAGAAAATTCCGTTTTTTTTCTTTCACGCGCAGAAAGATCGCTATCTCCCACGCGTGGGAACGAAGGAGAGAGGCGGGATTGCGTGATTGGGAGCGACTTTCGCGCCCGCATATAAACGGAGCGAGGAACCGGGGGAAGGGAACTCCAAAACTCGGGTAGAAGCGTAGGAGATCTGTTGGAGCTGACTTTTGGACTAAAATCTCTCAAAATTAGTTTTGGGAATCATATAGGTAGACTGTTGGTGATGCTCGGTGTAACTTACTGTATAAACTTGTGAAATGATAGTTTTGATACATGAATTTATCTAGTTCGTGCGAACAAGGACCAAAATAGCTTGACAATGTTAATTTTATGAACTGATATTGATTAGGATGTGACGTGCATACGTGTAGCGAGTATACTAAGATATGTAATATTTATAAATTTGGTCTCTACTTTAATTATCCTTTATCATGGAAGTGATGAATTTTATATATTTCTAACCCTTATATCATTGCTCGGTTTTTTTATCTTTTTCTACGAACACTATATCCATTCTATTTTTATTCCTAGTTTGCGTGCGTGCGTTCATACAGGTGAGTGTACGTGCGTTGTAAGTGTTTGTGTCGTACTAGTAATTTTAAAAAAATATATATTTTATCTAAATAAAAATGATTCATACAATTAATATTATCAGCAAAACCAGATCAATAGATTTGTCAAGCTATAAATAAATGAATAGTAAATTGCATCGCTGGTACACGAGGTGCAATCTAGTTGACGAATTTGTAAAATGCTCGTTTTGGTGCATGAACTTATCTGGTGCGTGTGGAGGAAGGAAAAAGGACACCACATGGCTAATCTTATTAATGTAGGGGCTTATTAGGATACTATATAAACATATATCTAAGAAGGTTTGCTATTAGACATACACGGGTCCAGATATCCTTAGATACCCGGCCTGATGGGCACGGGCATGGGTGTAATTTTTTTCCCGTGAGCATGCCCGTCCGAGACTCGAGAACATAGCGGGAGTAGCCGGGTATTGTTTTTTGCCAGCAGATAATCCATGCCCGACCCGATACATATGTATTTGCTAATTTTGGTCCATCTCTTATTCCTCATACTATAACATCCCGGGTTTTAGCTGTAGTCCTGGTCACGCTAATGACTTGGTCACACTAGTTGAGAGCGGTGTCGATGGAGCCACGATGCTGGCTAGGACCTATAAATATGTTGATTGTTGTTCTATTATGGATCAAATAATTTTTTGATCGTTTCCTTGTCATTTATTTATCAAGTCGTCCATATCCATATGGATCATTGATTTATTTATAGTTAGAGTAAACCTGGTGAGGAGTGGGATAATTTAGTTTTGTAGCGTAGATTAGTTGTCACGAGGTACACATGTGCACAGTAGAAATCACAATTCTTTATTTACAATTTACCACGACAGGTCTGCATACATATATGCATATAATTGTACAATAGAAATCTTATACAGCATGCATCACATATATTGTGCATATACATGGTGCTTATAGATTATCATAAACTGAATCATCTCAGTCAAAGATTCAATAATTATTTATTTTTCAGAAAAACTCTTAAGCTCTAGGGCAATTGCATATCAGTCCCTAAATTTGTAGTAATTTACAATTTTACCATACTTGAGGGATTCAAGTGCAAAAGATCAAACACATCAGACTACCAATTCTCCAATAATTAGGGAAATTAACAAATAGGTCTGGTTATTCCACCGAACAAGCTGTTTACACCTAAATTTGATACCTAGGATTAAAATAGAAAATATTACCAAAATTTGAAAGTCTACCGGTTTCCTCCGAAGTGGGCCGGTCTAACCGCTGTGTGTTGGGCGGTCAGACCGCCGGTTGAGGGCCGGTCAGACCGGCGGTGTGTGGCCGGTCTGACCGGCAGGTCCGAGTCCGACTCTGTTTCGTCGGGTCTCGAAGTTTCCTTGCTCGGGAAGGCATGTTTCGGGTTTCCTTTGGTTTCTACCCCGAGTTGGACGTGGAGGAGGGCCTGTAGAGGGCAAGACCAACCCCTATATAAGGGACATGGCCGGTTCATTGTAAAAATCAATCTACTATCAATCAATCGAATCGTTTTTCATATTGCTTTTAGTTTTTCTCTTAGTTTGTCCATCTTTACAAAACCCATCTAGGTTTAGCTCTTTGCTAGATCGAGGTGGTTGGCGACTCTAGGATCACCGCAAGGCTTAAAGTGCTGCGATCGTGCTTGTCAACTTGTCAAAAAAGTTGCCAACACAAGCCATGTTGAGGTGTCACAGGTACAGAATGGGAATAGCCATGCAAGCAGGTGAATCACCAGTACAAGATCCACCAGGGATAAAATAATTTGTGTGAATCATTTCCAACCCAAGTCTCGTTTTGGTCGTGCAAAACAACACAAGCAGCAGCTGCGGCAGTAGTAGTTACAACCATAGAACCAAGCTATAGGAAAATCAGCTAGAGTGTTAGCTCCACCCAGAGAGAAATAGCTCAACTGAAGTCCAGCTCAAACCAATACATGAACCAACAGTAGTAGTAACCATGGCCAAGCAATCAGAGAGCGGTGAACCAAATCTAAAGGAAAAGTAGAGGTGTTCAGTTCTTGGATGAACTCCAACTATAGGAGGAGATGAAACTTAGGTCAAGAAGCAAGATGGAGCGAAAAATCAAGCAAGAGGATCAGTCTCAAGAGGAGGAAGAGAATCACCAGTAGCAGATCAAGAAAGATGTCAGGAAGTAGTCAAGCATTACCAGTAGGGTAAGAGCCAAGGAGGAGAATTACCTGAGTTCCAAGTAGAGTAGGGGGTTCAGTTCAAGAAGGGGAACAATCAACCAAGCTCAAGGTGGAGAAGCTCAGTTCTAGCAAAATCACCTTAGATCTAAAAGAGCAGCAGTAGAAGAGAAGACTTGGATTTCTGAAGGAGGAGCTGAACCACACATTTTTCAATCACTGTAGAATCATCAGAGGTAACCAAAAACTAAAATAGGGGAGGAGAGTAGATCCTGCATTTATAGTAACAGCATTTGTTAGAGCTAGAGTTTCATGCAGATATATACCATCCATCCTGACCTAAAACCTTAGCAATTCTAAATGAATAAAAGTAACAAAAGTTGATGATAAAGTTAAAGATAAGTTCATGTCTTTAAATCCTGACATATATAAATTATCATAGAAGAAATCTGAATAGTAACAATAAGCGTCTGTAGCTATAATTTTTTAATAAAATCAACTAGTGTTCATGACATAAATTATTTAGGAATAGAGCATATATAGAAGAACCAAATCATGCATGTAACTTATAAGCTTTCAGATTCTAGTCATCTAAACAGGGCATAACATTGACATGTGCATATTTAATTAGAATTAGTTATAACCTAAACAAATCAGACTCTAGTTCCAATAATACTTTAGAGAAATAAGTAGTTTATATTAGTATCCAGTAGAACATGTAGCAGCATGTTCAGTACAAGAATTATTCTGAATATATGGTATAATAACAGAGTAGGTATATTTACTTATAACAGGGTAGTTAGAGTAAATGATATTTAGACTAGGGCATGCATCTATTAGCTTTCATCAGTGTAGTTTTGTACAAATTTTATCCCACAGTGAACTGAAACTGTTTCAAAAATCAACCAATGTATTTAGTTCTTCATATAAGTAATACCGAATCTGCAGAATTAATATGGATAGCAAGTGTAAACGTACATATTTAGTTTAGGTGCAGATACATATGCAGGAATCTACGAGTCTTTATCACAAGTCCTAGAAGAACATATATCAGTTTTAGAACGATGGTAGGTGATCAACATAACCTTGCTAAGACCAATACCATAGAACACAATTAATTACAAGTTACTTAAGTAATCAGTACATTTTGATATCAAAATCAAGATTCATAATTTTTTTTTGTCATTTGATCACTTTAGTTATATTACTATGATGCATTTGGTATACAGGAATTCATATTAATTATCTGAATTACTACTCAGCACAAGGACATAAGGATCTGATTCTCTAGTGCAGTAGCATGTAAAAAAAATTCAATATCTTGATAACCATTGCATAAGTATATAAAAGGATCAATCCTGTTATTATGATATTAATATCTGTACTAAAAAAAATAAATACACATCCTTGATTCATTTGAGCATGCATCCATGTATTCATCCATGGCATATAGTCATCATCCAACTATAGTAAATCAATTGATTTAGAACCCTAGAGCCAGCAGTATAATCCTGAGTATAACACTATCTAGTTGGTCATTAGGACTAGTTCAAGAATAAAAATTCACAGCATGTTACCACACAGAAGAACACCATTCAAATCACATTACAGAAGTAGGTAGAGAAGGGGATCAGAGAGGAGGAGCTTGGGGAGACACAGCTGGTGCGAGCCATGCTTCACTCAAGGGCGCTGGGGTTGGGGAATTCCCAACCTGGGATTTTCGGTTGGCGTCGTCGTCGTTGGGAGCAGCAGCCGACGACGGCATCGATGGGAGAGGAGCTAGGACTGCAAACATTGGGGCTTCGCTGTTTTGACACTCCGAGTGGATGATAAATGGGTCCATCTGTGTCTATAAAAATGTGGGTCCAGTGTCATTATAGCAAAAGTTAATGTTTGCAGTGTCATAATTGTAAATCCCCCCCGATGAATAAGGTTGGGCATGGATGACCAAGGAGAGAAGCTGTATAGAGAGATTTGGACGGGGAATCAGGGGAAGAGAGGAAAGAAGGTGTTTACCCCCAAATTTGGCACCAAGGGATAAAATAGGGAAAATTACCAGTTTGGAAGTCTGCCGGTTTTTCTCTGGTTGGGCCGGTTTGACCGCCATGTATAGGCCGGTCAGACCGGCAGTG